CAATGTTATTGTAAGGGAGGAGAGTGGGCTTAAAATTCAGGGAAACTGTGAATAGCAATGGTGAAACTTGTATGCATGATAAAAAATAATTTGCTGCCAAAGAGATCAAAAGGGGGTTCCGGTTTATTTGAAAACTTCACATTTTACCTAATACAGAGGTAGTAAACTATCTTCCTGGAGTTGCACCAATCAAAGTTTCAGATCTTCCCACTCCTGTTTTTGGCAAAGGCAAAGAATTGATAGATGATGTCCTTAAAGCCTTCTCTATGGTCCCTAAAGCACAATACCTGTTATTCACTTCTGTCTATGAACTCGAAGCTTCCGCTATCGACGCTTTAAGGGAAAACCTCTCCATCCCCGTCCACCCAATAGGCCCTGCCATCCCTAACTTTGGCACCCAAGAACAACTCTCTCAGGTCATTGCTAATGAGGATCAAGAATCAGACAATGTCATCAAATGGCTAAACGCTCAGGCGAAAAGCTCCGTCCTGTACATATCACAAGGGAGCTTCCTATCCGTCTCGAGCGCTCAGCTGGATGAGATCATAGCTGGCGTGCATGAGAGTGGGGTTAAGTATCTATGGGTCGCACCTGGAGGAGGCATAGACACTTCTCGGTTTCAAAGACAAAATGGTGATGGGGGTTTGGTTGTGCCCTGGTGTGACCAGTTTAAGGTCTTGTGTCATCCTTCTGTGGGCGGGTTTTGGTCACACTGTGGTTGGAACTCGACGAAAGAAGCTGCCTTTGCGGGCATCCCGGTTCTCACGTTTCCTATATTTTGGGACCAGACCACAAACAGCGAGCTCATTGTCGGGGTATGGAAGATCGGGGTCAAGGTGCAGAAAGGAGATGGAAGTTTGGTCATGAGGGATGAGATATGTGGGCTGTTGAGGAGATTCATGGATTTGGAGGATGATGACATGAAGGAGATGAGGAGGAGAGCAAAGATGGTTCAAGAAACATGTCAAAACTCAGTTAAGAAAGGCGGTTCCTCTGATTTGAACATTGATGCCTTCATCAATGACATCTCATAGAACAATCTGTGCTAGCATCGGTCGGATTGTATCTATAATCTATTTTCAATAAAATCATTGTTATCTATTTGAAGATGTGATTTTTTCTCACAACACAGAGAAAAAACTTATGTCAGAGGAACCCGTAGACAATCTACGGATTATTCAGGTTATGTCCAATACGGACATGGATTTAAGTTTTAACGTTCATTTATATATTCAGATATTTCATCTTTATAAGGAGTTTTGATTATTTAAAGATGATCTTATTAGCTTGAAATGTTTATTATATTTTTTGTTGTTTTATGTATGATCTTATCTCATTTACTGTTTTATATTAGAGTGAAAAAATCTCCTAATATAATCAATACATGAAATTAGTATTAGTTTTTGGGTTAGTTCAACCAATAGTTTAACTCATTAGTTTTACAAATTCAACAGGAATAGCTCAATTAATCACGCACATATTATCAACTAAACCAGATTACTAAGTAAACTAATATGCACAATATTACTGCAACTAACCGTTGCAAGCAGCCAAGCATATTAGTTTTACTCAAGTAGGGAACTTGAGTATCCGTATGTCATACCACCGGGTATACGTACACAGTACACCCGGCCCAACTAAGGGAGACAACCCAACAACCAATACACGCCAAATTTTTTGCGCTGGCAATTTTGTAATTTAAGTGAAAAATCGCAGCTTCCGTTAAATGAGCAATAATGAAATTTTAGTGAGCATCCAACCTATTTTATTGAGTATTAGGAGGCTAACAATGAGTTTCCTGATCTTTGCTTCATGCCTTCATATATTCTAATTCTCTTTCTATTTCTTATTTTTTTTTCTTTTATAAAAATTTATTAAATTATATTTATAATCCACTCTTATTAATTTCAAATATGCGAGTCTAATATAATATGATACTTTTGAAATATGCATTGATATGACATGGTAAAAATAAGCATTACATCAGTACCAAATGAGCATACATAGCTACAAAATGTACATTGATATGAAAATCGTAAGGTTTTGTTAGTTGAACATCACGAAATTTTAATTGAGCATCAAACATCCGCTATTGAGATGAAAACCACAATTTCTTGTAAATGAGCATTTACTTTTTATGAGCGTCCGGTCTATTACGTTAAGTATTAGGAGTCTACTATATGAGCATAAGATCGGTATCAGATGAACATATGTTACTAATAAAATGAGCACTAATGAATTTGTTAGTTGGTTTGTTAGTTGAAAATCATGATATTTTCATTGAGCATCAAACCTCCTCTATTGAGATGGAAATAATGATTTCTGTTAAATGAACATAAAACACATTTCTAATGTGAATCTAATGCAGTATGATATGTTTGAAGTGCGCAACCTTTTAAAGTGAGTATAAAACAGTACCAAATGAGCATACATTACTTACAAAATGAGTATAAAAAAATTTAAAAAACCCATTTTTGTGTGTTCGTTCATTTTGGACGTTATACTCATTTAAATTTAACATAAAACTCATTTCTATTGTGCTCAATATGTGCTCAATATTCATATGTGTATTGATATGACATTTTAAAATGAGCATAAAATGAATATTAAATGAGCATATGTAACTTACAAAATGAGATATAGAAAAACAAAACATTAATATCTAAAATATTTTATAATTGAATAAAGATTAAAATAAATAAAAAATTAAGAAAAAGAAAGAACTAAAGAAGGAAAAAAGTAAATGCAAGAAAAGAAGAACAGAAAAGACAAAAGAGAAAAACGTGTAATAGATTAGTAGCACCAAATCGGAAAAGCAAGGAAATAGAAAAGCAAAAAAAGAAAAATGGAAAAGGTGAAATCAATGAGCGCAGCTCAGACTCGGCGATGGCCTGGGAGAAGGAATAAGGGCAGAGCAGAGGCGGACGATGGACTGGGAGAAGTTGATATTAATTTCAAAAATACCCGGTTGTATGGTGAGGACTGGACAACCGGGTGTACGGTATATTTTGCCGGAACTTGAACAATACAAGTGTAATGCAAGTGGCCAATCATAAATGGGACAATTGAAAATGTTACGTAGTACTATCTTTCCTTTCTTTTTAGTTGTAAAATGAAAAATTTTGCACTATTCATGTATTCTGTTTTGACTACGTTTTATTTATTAATGCATGAAAATAATATTTTTTAAAAAAACTGTTGAATTCATCTCATTACAAATTTTCACAATCTGATTTTTACATTTTTCGTAATAGAGAATTAAATATAATCACAATCAAAATCGTCATTGGCAAGCATGCAAATATGAGGGCCTGTTGACTAATAGAGATATTTTTTCTTGTTTTCTGTCCTCCAATTTTCTGTTTTCATTTTCAAATTTTTCAATTTCCAATTTTTCATTTTCATTTTTTAGATTTCCATTTTCAAATCTGAAAACATGTTGATCAAATTTTTTCACCCGATTCTGTGACCGACCAGAAGATCGAAAGTACATCCCAGTCCGAAACCGAACCTAGTACAACCAAGGTAGAGTACCACGTGCCACATATAGGAAAGTCAGGACCAAAATCGGACGATCTCGATCAATCTCAACGGTTAGTTTGACTAAGGATGCTTTCTAATGGACTGTTTTCAGTCTCATACCAGACCAAATCAGACCAGACTAAACTTCCATAGTTATAAAATACACAGAGACCATAAATTTATCAGACCAGACCAGACCAGTTCAGACTAGACCAGATTAGACCAGACCGACAAATTTCAGTCCAAAATAAAACATCCTAATTCTTTTCTCATTTCCCTATTGGTTAACAACTCCAACGCCTCTTTTAAAACTCTTTACTTTAAAAAATGATTTCAAAAAACCAAGACCGAACCGTTGTGTCTTTGACCAGCTCGAACAGGTTCCGCCGGGTCGTTGACAAGACCGGCTCAAGACTGCCTGGTTGTCGATCAGACTGAACAAAGAATGCCAGGTTGTAGACCGCACAAACGGGGACCGTCGGATCATTGACCAGACCGAACGGGGACCGTCGAGTCATTGACAAGACCATATCAGACCAAACCACTGACCGGACCGGATAGCGATCGTCGGGTTGTTAACCGGACCGGTCTGGAACTGACACTAGAGCGGGACTGGATCCACCACTAGGTGTAAGTATGAAAATTCATTGTAGCGACACTGCAACTTCTGCTTTTTTCAAATTTGGAAAACTACTAAAACTCACTTCTCGAGTTTTTCAGCAATTTTTTTGGTAAACACATTTTCTGTTTTCATTTTCCAATTTTCCAGTTTTCTGAAAAAATGAAAAAATATCTGTGCTAGTTTAGTAAACTGAGTCTGAATGTTGAAACTAGAAAAGAACAAAGTAAGTATATATTGTGAATACTCTAATTTGATTTAACTTTTAGAACGTTTTTAATTAAACTTATTTTGGTCCAAAACCAGATCATATGAGACTATGTCAGATTTAATTAGATTAACTCAAGAAAAAGGAAAAATAAGTCCTCGAATTATTTGCGATTATGCAATTAGGCCCATTAACCAGAAGACTTACAAATATATTCCTCAACTCATTGAAAATTAAGCAATGAGGTCCTTTTTTACCTGTTGGTGCAAGTAACGAGATGAGAACGACCTGTACTATCAGGTAAAAATGGATCTGATTGCTTAAATTTCAGTGATCCAAAGAGGTGTATGTAGAAGTCCTTCGGTTCATGGACCTAGTTGCATAATCTCAAATAATCAGAGAGCTTATTTGTGTTTTTTCTCAATGGAATTGGACTAAGGGGTGTTTGAAACTGATTCTGCTTCGACTTCTTTTTTAACACAGAACCAGAATCATTTTTCAGAAACTAGTCTCCGCCAACTTCTAAAAAACTGGGTCTAGGAGTAATTAGAGCACCAAAATTATTCTGCACTTTTATCCAAACACTTCAATTTTGTTTCCGCTCCCTAAATTGATTGTAAATGAGAAAATTTGATTTCAACAATACGGAGTATCCTTTACCCATTCCAATCCCCCACAAAGTTGGAGGCTGGAACCCTAAACCAAATCTTCGTACTTACGAAGAAACCTTCCAAATGTGATTGATCATAATCACTCTCTCTTCCCCCAAATCGCTCGCATTCACTCAATCCCAGCATCTCCTGAATCCTAAACCAGCGTGGACATCTATCAGTTTCACCTCAGCCGTTCAAGGTTATCTCTATTACCATAATCCGTCCGCTGACTTCCTATCAGGACCCGGCTCCGTATCGTAATTTTCCCTATGGCCACCGCCACCGATGCAACTGCCAAATTTCAGCAGCCGGACCTCATACCGATCCCGCAACCGCCGGATTATCACCCGGAGATCCTCGTTTTGCCTGCTCACGACGGCCTCCACTCCTGGCAGTTCATGGTCGCGGGGTCAGTCGCCGGCATGGTGGAGCATATGGCCATGTTCCCAATCGATACGGTCAAGACCCGTATGCAAGCCTTAGTGTGTTGCCCAATCAAATCCGTCGGCGTCCGCCAGGCCCTTCAGTCCATCCTGAAATCCGACGGCGTTCGTGGGCTTTACCGCGGAATAGGAGCTATGGGTCTGGGTGCCGGGCCAGCACACGCGGTCTACTTCTCCGTCTACGAGTTATGTAAAGAGTCATTTTCCCGTGGAAATCCAAATAACCCCGCCGCCCATGCCGCATCCGGCGTGTGCGCTACGGTTGCCAGCGACGCAGTCTTCACGCCGATGGATATGGTGAAACAGAGGCTCCAACTGAGCAGCAGCCAGTACAAGGGGGTGATGGATTGCGTGAGGGTGGTTTTGAGAGAGGAAGGGGTTCGTGCTTTTTATGCTTCCTACAAGACAACTGTGTTGATGAATGCCCCATTCACAGCTGTGCATTTTGCTACTTATGAGGCGGCAAAGAGAGGTTTGTTAGAAGTTTCGCCTGAGATTGCAAGTGATGAACGGTTAGTAGCACATGCTACTGCAGGGGCGGCTGCTGGGGTTTCAGCTGCCTTGTTTACAACGCCACTTGATGTGGTTAAAACTCAGTTGCAGTGTCAGGTATTACTTTATTCTTTTTTATTTATCTTTTATTTGTAATGCTGTAAAAAAATTGCACCTTGGGAGGGTTTTCGCGTTGTCTACACCGATGGATCAATGATGAGGTAACTAACTCTCACCTTGTTAGTTTTTCTCAGCATAAAAGAAACAATAGCTGTGGTTGCTTACTAGTAAAGCATTGTTTTGTTTGGTAAAATCTCTAGATTAAATAGTTTCTAGTCAATAATTATGCTGACCCAGAGTGAAGCATTATTTTGTTTGGTGAACTCTCTAGTGTAAATAGTTTCTAGTCAACAATTGTGCAGTGTCAGGCATTACTTTATTCTTTTTTATTCATCTTCAATTTGTAATGCTGTAATAAAATTGAACCTTTTAAAGATTTTTGCTACTCGTTGTCTACTCTGATGGATTGATGATGAGGTAGCTAACTTTCACCTTGTTAGTTATCAGCTTTAAAAGTAACAATAGCTGTGATTGCCTACTAGTAAAGCATCGTTTTGTTTGGTAAACTCTCTAGTGTAAATAGTTTCTAGTCAATAATTGTGCAATGTCAGGTATTACTTTATTCCTTGTTATTCATCTTCAATTTGCAATGCTGTAATTAATTTGCACCTTGGGAAGATTTTTGCTACTCGTTTTCTACACTGATGGATTGATGATGAGGTAGCTAAATTTCACCTTGTTAGTTTCTCTCAGCTTAAAAAAGCAACAATAGCTGTGATGGATTTTGGCTCACTAGTAAAGCATTGTTTTGTTTGGTAAATGTCTAGTGTATATCGTTTGTAGTCAATAATTGTGCTGACCCGGAGTCCTAGACTGGGATGAGTCTCAAATCAGTGACCTCCTCTAATAGTGATGTACTGATGGTCTTAAACCACAAGGTTTTTGGTAGAATTGCTTATTTTCTACTTCCTTTTGTTCAAACAAACAAATCATAGGAGAGTTAGGGTTCCATTGTTCATTTAGTGTATGTTTGGATCCCTTAAAAACTAGAGAAATAAAAAATGCTAAGAAAACTTTTTTTTCGCGTATTTGTTTTGCCCCAGAATATGCATATTAAATTGATGTATTATTAATTGTTAATATTTTTTTATGCATGTTAAGATTAGATACCTTAATCTTTGTGCTACTAAATTATTAAATAAAACTAGTTTATACAATTGTCAAAAATAAATTCATAGGGTCTAATGTTGTAAACAAATGTTGGTCCTCCCATTTTCTTTGCTACCAAAAATCACCTATATTTTTGTCCCTGCTTTTTACCTAGCATTTTTGAGTTTCTGAACAGATACTTAAAAAGTTCGCATTTGTTTGGTTCTACCAGGTCACACATTCAGGTTATCATGGAATTTTGGTTGCAGTGTGAATGGTCTGAAGTTGAAAGTTGTTTACTTATGATAGCTATGAATATTATGATTGCCGTAATGTATATAGGTATGGGAAATTGAATAAAAAGCAGGGTCAATATTAGGAGTTGATGAGTAGTTATGAGTAAGCCTAAGTTGTTTACTGTCAAAGACTCAACGTAAAGAATTTGTTCCATTAGGCTGGAAATGAGATTCCATTAGGCTGTAAATGAGAACTCCTATCCTCAAAACGTTTCTATCTTCTATTTTGTACCACCAAAAGAACACCTGCACTTGGCCACTAACTCTCTAGTCTCTTCATGATGTCTGAGATGTCTGATATGAAGTTTCGAACTCACATTTTTAGTTGTATACTTCTATCTTCTCCTTATGTGGTCACTTTTACCCTGAACTATGCATTAAGTGTCCATTTGGTAATTTTTTAGCTTATAAACTACTTCGTATATATTTTAACCAAACACTTACTGTCATTGCTTTGGCTGATGACCTTGCAATGGAAAAAGTGGTCAAAAGTCTCTTTTTGGAAAAGGTGGCTGAAATAAATGAAAATGGTACTTCAAACTCCGTTTTAGTCATTATTTTCTTTAAACTCACAGAGTATTTAATAAGTATCTGCAATATTTATTTAAAAGAATTAGTCAGAATATGTTAGGAACTTAAACAGATTCAACCACAATTTCAGCATATTTTTCCTTTCTAGGGATTAACAAGTGGAGCCTTAATGTATAAGCTTTTGAAATTTGTATTTGTAGTTGCTAATCTCACTTGGAATTTTGTTGTGTGTAGGGTGTATGTGGATGTGACAGATTTAAAAACAGTTCAATTAGTGATGTGCTCAAAACCATCGTAAAGAAAGATGGGTATAGTGGACTGATGAGGGGTTGGATGCCAAGGATACTCTTCCATGCTCCAGCAGCTGCAATATGTTGGTCCACATATGAAGCTTCTAAATCATTCTTTCAAGATTTGAACACTACCACTAACCGCAGAAATGCTACCTGAGAATCCCCCCGAAGAGCAGTCATTGGCTGTTTGTGTCATTTACACCTCGGGTGTTTGTCCCAGCCATTGTGGGGCCACTAGGATGACGGGAGATGAGATTAGGGTATCCAACCTGTGGCAAATGTCATGTAGTGATGTAGAGGAAGTGTATTTGTAAGAGTTACAATAAGTTTATCTCAAAAGTCAGTAATAGATGAAATTTTGTGGAGCTAGATGTGAATCTGCCCCTGACTCCCAGGAGTATGTTACACGGCAACAGACCATCTGGGCCTTTTTCTTTTGGCATTTGTAATTTGTAAACGCACACCCGGATAGAGTAGGTGGGAGTCTGGCTGTCTTGGGCTTTTCATTGGCTACCAGTTCTGTTTATTTACGAGAGAAATATTATATTTTATTTATCCCTTACAATAACAATACTCTTATTTCATCATCACCTCATTTAGAAGCTGCATTATCCTTATACTTGTGATCTATATGTGGTGTTTGGCTAAGCATGTTTGGCTCTAGAAACACTATTGCAAGCGAAACACCGAGGACAAGTTAGAATGGAGGATGTTTATGGGTTTGAACTTTGAACGGGAAGGCTTTGTAGGTCTTCTTATGTATTTTATTTAATTAGTAGACAAGTGTACTCTTTCAAAAACTAAATAGAAGGGGATAGGAATGTTGTATTATCTCATACTCCGTGTGATTTTAATCTTTCAATATTTATGGCATAAAAGATTCAACACTCCCAGTTCTTTCTCCCAAACCCTTCCAAAAACCACCATCCAAACAGATCATAAGCCTGGAAGTGTTTGACGGGTTGTTTTGATGGAGTTGTGATAAGCTCAGAAGTCAGAACGCTCTTGATTTGAACCTTTTTTGTTTGCTGTTTTCTAATCAAAGCCTCAAAGAGTCAAAGGGCATGACCAAAAACTTATGGAGTATTTTTTTAAAAAATTTAAAACAGCATTCTAGCAAATCACTACCAATTGCTCAATCCAAAAGTTTGGATTAAAGTGTGAAAGTATATTAGAATATACTTTAGTATGTGCTTTAGAATATATTAGGAATATACCATAGATATTATTATTGTATAACATCTTATGTAGGAATATTCTATCTTTGTAATCTATATTTATATAATCTTAACCCTTCAATGAAATGCACAGAAAATCCTTCTCTCCATCTTTAATATCATTCTAGTTTGTATTTTTAACATAAAGAATGCACAATTCTTAAACACAATATATCTGAATTACAAACACCTCTGCAAATTCCCTTACCCCAAAGTCTCTCCAATAATACATTTGAACGTATGAGATCAAAACAATGGACAACATGTTGTTGTCGATTGTTGAAATGTCCATAGCCTCTTTATCATTCCTAAGTTTTTGTCTCTTAAATAAAGCACAAATACAGTTGCTGGGCTAGAATTCTGCCATTGATTCATTTTCTCCTAGGGGAAACACGTTTAACTCACAATAAGAGTGGGAAATACAATGCTCAAGGAAACACAAACACAACAGAGTTGTCCCTTGACGGCTTGACGCACAACCAAAATCATTGTTATAAAAATGATATCAGCTCTTCATCATCATTTCACTTGTCCAACAATAACAGTGATGCCGTCATGCTTCCCACCTGTTTACTTCATTTGTAGAATTTTCTTCCACCAAGGAACGCTGAAACCCCTTGCCATGGCCTCCTGCGAATACGGAGAATCGAAATTTGGGATCCAACGAGTGACTGTGAGCCAGATCAGCGAATGTCTTAGCTACCAATTATACCAAGCTCGTTTATAATGCAATATACGAAGTAATTATTTGGATGACTGAGGAGGCCTTTATTTCGCTCTAAAGTCACAGTTAGGTTACTAAGACAGGTGAAGTAAACATGCACGCTGCTTAAAAAGCCGCTTACTAACTGAAATAGGTGCTTAAAGTGCCGCTTACTAAACATATCACCTCCATGTATTAATTAAGCGACACTTTAAGCTTTTTTAGTTTCTGAATTTACCCATTGCCCTTACCCTTATTGTTACCCCCTACCCACCCTACCCTACTACCCCAACCCCGATCCTGACCTCACCCTACCCACTACCTCCATCTATTCTCGTACCTTACCCCTACTCGACCATTACCCCACCCCACCCCGCGTACCCCTTTTCCCTACAATGACCCTACCCCACCCCCACCTCGATCCATACCTTACCCCTACCTCGGCCCCACCCGGTCCTCACCCCACCCCTACCCTACCCCCACCTTACCCCAACCCCACCCCACACCCAACCTAGGCCCCTTACCACCTTACCCCCCGCCCTTACCACCTTACCCCTACCCTCACCACATCGGCCCCACCAGACCCCACCTTACCCTATCCTACCCTACTCCTGACCATACCCTACCCTGACCTTTCCCCGACCCTAAGCCCACCCCTACCCTACCTTACCCCAACCCGACCTAACCCTACCCACAATCCCACCCTTACCCCTAACCACGACCAAACCCCACTCAATACACCATTTGTCCCTACCTCGGCCCCACCCCGATCTCAACCTTAACCCCAACCCCTTACCACCCTACCCCACCCTATACCAGACGCCCCTACCTCGGCTCCACCCAGATCCTGGCCTACCGCCATCCTACCCCACATAGGGTGGGGTCGGAGGTGGGACCGACGTGGTAGGGTGTTGGGGTTGGGGTAGGGTGGTGGGGGGTAAGGGATAGGGTGGTGGTGGGGTAGGGGGCAGGGTGGGTCAGGGTGGTGCCAATGTGGTAGTGGTAGGGTGTTGGGGTAGGGTGGTAAAGGGCCTAGGGGTAAGGGGTTAGGCTATGGGTGGGGCCGGGGTAATAGGGTAGGACAGGGTGGGATCAGGGGTGGACCCGCTAGGGTAGGGCCTAGGGGTGGGGTCGGGTAAGTAGGGTAGGGGGGCGATGTGGTAGGGTAGGGGTAGGTGGTAAGGGCCTAGGGTTGTGGGGGTGGGTAGGGGGCTAGGTGGGGTGGGTCGGGGTGGGGCTGATGTGGTAGGGGGTAGGGGTAGGGTGGTAAGGGCCTAGGGGGCGTGGGGTAAGGTACACATAATACTTGTGTTCATGAATGTTTGTGTGTCTATATATGTATAGGGTTATTTTGGACATTTTAATGCTAAACGATGTTTTAAACCTTGTGAAGTAAACATGATCTTACAACGTTGCTTATTTTATGCGCCGCTTATTAACGCGAGTCTTCGTAAGCACCGTTTAGTAACCCGTGAAGTAAACATGTCCTGAGGCTCTGTTTGAAGTAAACTAAGGGAGTGTTTGCGGTTGATTAAAAAAAAGTGTTTTTCAGCTTTTGACTTAAAAAAAGTTAAAAAGAGTGTTTTCAAATGACAGCTTCTGCTTAAATTAATCACTTAAAAGTTAAAAGCTGGAAGCAGGTGGAAGGGTGCTTTAAACTGCTTTTCACTTTTTTTATTACACAAAAAGTACTTTTTTTTTACCAAACACTACCAACTTTTACTTTTTCAGAATCACTTTTTCCTCAAACACTACCAACTTTTACTATTAATCACTTTTCCTAAAATCACTTTAAAAAATCACTTCTTTAAAGTTGAAGCAATTGCAAACACTCCTTAAGGGGTGTTTGTAACCGCTTCTTTTTCTAAAGCAGAAGCAGAATCAGTTTTCAGAAGCTAGTCTCCCCCAGCTTCCAGAAAAACTGATTCTAGGAGTAAAATAGAGCATCAGAATCACTTCTTCACTTCTACCCAAACACTCCAACTTTAGGAAGCAGATGCAGTTTTAGAATCAGCTCCAAATACCCCTAACTTGTTCTAGAAAACGTTTTCTTGGAAAATGGTTCCCAAGGAGCACTTTTCTGTAAAATATTCTAACAAAACAAACTGTTCTGTGCTTCTGTGTATAATAATATGTATGATGTTTGACCCACAAAATAGATTTTTCGTAATATACAGTACGTAGTTAAAAAAAACCAAGATATATTTCCTGTATACAAACAAAGCCCGAAGGGTGGCACGTATGTGAAGCAGGAAGCAAAGAACCAGCATGGGATTCATCTGCTTGTGCAGCTAACATTTACAAAGCTCATGGTAAAAAACAGTGTCAAATAGCCCATCACAACCCATTAAGATTGTGTTTTCGCCTTTTACCTCTACGTTGCTAACCTATACGCGAAGAGTGCGGAAAAGAAAAGAAACAAAGATGCCTTGAAATTGGTCAAGTACAAGAATCATCACCTTCTCAATTTAAATGCTGATTTCACTTTGCTCCATAGCAAAAGATTGCATGAAATTTTATGAAATATAATCCAACTAGACCATTAAAACATAGGGACAATGCAACACTTGTAAACAAATGTGGATCATCTGTAGCTCTCAGACCAAATACACCGTGTAATTGGGATCTACACCGTACATTTCCCATTCACCAACACTTCTTACCCCACTATCCAGCAGGGAAAACCGAGATAGCTGCAAGAACGGATGGTTCCTATCCGCAATGTACCATGCACTTTGTTCAGAAATCACAAGATAACTATGTTGAGTATACAACATGAATGGTCTACTTGGTTACATTTCAGTGTATATATCTGTGAAATATATCTCACTGCTTGAGGACTGTTGGACAAGTTAGGCCTAATTTAACATGGTATCAAAGTCATGCGGTTTATGAGTTTAGGCTCACTTGTGCATCCTTTCATTGTCGAACCTGGTTTGGGTTGAAAGTGGTGTCTTGAGTACCTCAAATCGGTTGTCTACGGCGTTTTAGCTAATTAATTATATAGGGAGTACTACGTATAAGTTTGAGGTAAACATCATCTTCTATAGGACCAAATTTACGCAATGATTTCGGACAGGCCCGTTGTGGATCGATTTGGTCCCATTGTTCCTCCTTTCAGCTGCCCAGTCTGACTTGGACAGAAGACGGTGTGTTGAGCAGTTGAGCCTTGGCTATAGGACTATATAAGTGAGACTATATGTGAGAAAGGCTCACCTCAAGGCCTTCTTTCTGGTTGAGCAGTTTATGGCGGAATGATACTAAGGGCCTGTTTGGGTGGAGTGTTTGGAAGTGTTAGTAGTGGAAGTGTTAATATCAACTCTTACTAATACTTCTATTACTAACACTTCCAAACACTCCATCGGCTATAAAGAGAGTGAAAATTTTCAAAATCTTCTATGTTTTTATGGATATCACAAAAACAATTCTGAAATTAAATTAATTTAACCCTAACACTTAATTATAATCCATTTATTGTGAAAATAAGCTCAACACATTACTTGGATGATTATCCAAAGAGTTTCACGGAACCGTTTCTTCTGAGCTACTCCCTCCGTCCCCTTTTAAATGTCCCATTTTACCATATTGGGATGTCCCTATTTAATTGTCTCATACCTTATTTGGTAAACTTTGTGTGGCTCAAAATCATTCTTACTTTATTCTTACTTTA